CTACATTCAGGTCGGGAAATTTTGTATGCTATTATCTAGGTGATGATAAAGCATGTATTATCATTAGAATGAGACTTATTAAAATTTATATGGACGATGGTGGTGTGCGATCATTGAACGATGTCAGATATATTCCAAAGTTGAGTAAGAACTTGGTTTTTATAATTACTTTATAAGAAAACAATTTCTCTTATAGGTCATATGGAGATAGGAACATTATAAAGGTTAGCTAAGGTGCATTAATTGTGATGAGAGCAAAGAGTATTGCAGGTAACATCTATAAATTATTAAGAAACACTATTGTAGGTGAGGTTTCACCAATTGAGTTTGATAATGATGCAAACAAACACTAGCATATGTGTTTGGGTCATCTTAGTGAGTATGGGATGATGGGACTACATAAGAGGAATCTATTAGAGGGTGTTTGCGGTTGTAAGTTGGAGTTGTGCAATTATTGTATACTTAGAAAATAATGTTGTGTTCGGTTCAATACCGAAAAGCATAAAACAAATGGAATTTTAGACTATGTGAGTTCTAAGGTGTGAGAACCTACCAAAGAGGTTTCCATGGGTGGTTTCAAGTATTTTGTGACTTTCACATATGATTTTTCTAATAAGGTCTGGGTGTATTTCTTGAAGCAAAAATCTGAAGTTTTTACCAAATTCAAGTTGTGGAAGGTAGAGGTAGAGAATCAAACAGGAAGAAAAGTCAAGTGTTTGTGATCAGATAATGGGACAAAGTACACTCATTTGAAATTCAAGAGGATCTATGAAGAACACAAAATTCAAAGACATTTCTCAGTTCACAAAACACTACAACAAAATGGTATGGTAGTGAGAATGAATATGTCTCTAACTGAAAGAGAAATATGTCTCTTGTTAAATGTTGGACTATCAAAAGATTTCTGGTTAGAGGCAGTTAACATGGTGTTTTATCTTATTAATAGGTCATTGTTGGCTTCACCGTAGGGGAATGTTACAAAGGAGGTATATACAAGTAATTCTATTTATCTTGACAATTTAAAGATTTGTGGATGTCTAGATTATGTACATATATCTAGTGAAAATCGATCCAAGCTAGATCCAAAGTCAAAAAAATGTGTCTTTGTTAGTTATGCAAAAGGTGAGAATTGGTTCAAGTTATGGGATTTGATTAATAAAAAGATCGTAATCAGTAGAGATGTTGTTTTTGATGAGCAATTAATGTTGAAGAAATCTGTTGCAACATATGTATCAACATCTGAAGAAGAAACTTCCAGCAAACAAGTGATTCGGGTGGATGTTGATCTCCCACTAGTGAATAATATGAAGGTAATGAGTTAACCACATGGGGAACCATGCTATGATACTAAAACTAACCACGGACCTGGAGTTTCATATGGAATACAAGTCTATATGCTTGTATGTGATAGAGAGCATCATTCAACCAAGCCACCAGAAAGACATGGGTATGAAGACTTGGAAGCATATGCATTTCTTACTAGCTCTGGAGATCCCTCTACTTTTACCAAGGTTATAGCTTGCCATGAGAAAGATAAGTGGATGAGTACAATGGTGGATAAGATGGAGTCCATGAAAAAAATCAGACATGAGAACTTACTCATCTTCAAAAAGGAAAAAAAGAGTCATCGATTGTAAGTGGGTGTTCAACAGAAAACCAATAGAAACAGAAAAGGAATAGGAAAAGTTAAAGGCTCGTCTTATAGAAAAGGGGTACTCACAACAGGAGGGGATTGATTATGATGATATTTTCTATATGGTCGTCAGACATACTTTTTCATGGCAGTTTTAGCCTTGGTAGCTATCCAGATATGCATTCAGAGAAAACAGATGTGAATACAACATTTCTTCATGGTAATATAAATGAGTAAATTTACATGAAGCATACAAAGGTGTTCAGTGACACTAGACATGGAAATCTAGTTTTTAAATTGAAGAGGTATTTGTATGGTTTAAGGTAGTCTCCAAGATAATGGTACAAGCGTTTTGATTCATACATGCTTAATATTGGCTACATAATGTGTGAGTATGAATATTTTGTTTATGTTATGAGCCTTAATAATGGCTTTTTTTATTTTCCTATTAGTATTTTTTATGATATGTCCACTGCTGCTAATCATTTACATGATGTAAATGAACTAAAAATCATGTTGGGAGAGGAGTTTGACATAAAATACTTAGGTACTGCTATGAATATTCTTGGTATGGAAATTCACAAGGATAAGAGTGCTAGAAAATTATGGTTCTCTCATAAAATCTATATTAAAAATATACTAGATAAGTTTGACATGAATAATTCAAAGGCTATGACTACTGATTTAGCGAATCACTTTAAGATCTCATTGGATTAGTGTCCCAAGACAGATGCAGAAGCTAAGTATATGTCAAAGGTATGTTATGTCGATGTTGTTGGATGTTTAATATATGTTACGGTTAACACTAGACCTGATTTTGCATAAGTTGTTAGTCAAGTTTGTAAGTTTATGTCCAAACTAGAAAAGCGTATTTTGGAATCAATCAAGTGGATTCTCAGGTACTTGGAGGGCACTATGAGTTACGGCATCATGTTTAAAAGTGAACAATGTGATCTTTCAGTTATAGGATGTGTTATTTCAGTTTATGTTGGTGATATGGATGATATGAGGTCTATAACAAGGTATGTCTTTACTTTAGCAGGAGGACCTATTTGATAGAATTCATCAATTCCATCCATAATGGCCATACCAATAAATAACGTAGAGTACATGGTGGTAGGTGAAGCTGCCAAAGAAGCCTTATGGCTTACAAGATTGGTGAGAGAATTGGGTGTTGAGAGAGGTAGAGTTTGGTTGCATTATGATAGTTGGAATGTCATTTATTTGGTAAATAATCAGGTGTTCTATTCCAGGACTAAGCATATTAATGTGAGGTTTCACAAAATGAGAGAGTTACTTTCATATGGATGGGTATTACTTAAAAAAGTTCATACTTTCGAGAATTCATCTGATATGTTGACTAAGCCAGACATTGATGCCAAGTTTAAGCATTGCTTATATTTGTTACATGTTTCTTAGTGTTAATTAGATGGTGTACCTCCCTAGTTGTCATGATGAATCGTCATACAAGAAGTCTTCATAGAGTTTTGATATTTGCCAAGGTAGAGATTGTTTAATATGACTTGTATTGATGTGATTATTATGGGTGGTTGAGTATAAATCATATTGTTGATATTTTTATGGGTTGTTGAGTATAACTCACATTGTTAAGATAATTATGGATAAAGATAATTATTTTTTAAGGGTAAGTTGGGATTAGGGTTTAAGTAAATTGAACCCCTAGTATTTTATATGACTTGTAACACTAGAATAAGGTATATGAGTCACATACTTTCATATATCTGACATTTATCTCACTCATAGTCCATGTAAGACTAATCACATTCACTTAAACCTAACGCAAACTTCTCATATTTTAATAGGATCTCAAAATCTTATGATCTGAATCATTGAGATCATTGTAAAAAATTTATTTCCCCTAAGAGTGTTAAATAAACAATTAAAGAAAAATGATTTTTCTACCAACAAAGTAATTAAATATAAAACAAGATGTATTGAAAATATCAATTTTCAATCTTTCAAATAATTGAATTAGGAATATCAACGGAGATGAGAGAAGAGAGTACTCTCGGGATCCATGTGCGTCCCTTTGATCAACAAAAGAATAACTAAATATCTTTTATTTTTAATCAAATAATTTATAAAAATAAAAATTTAATCATAAAACAATATAATATTAAAACATTATAGTAATAATTACATTTAAAATAAATTTATATGCATAGTAATATAAAAAATAGGATTTAATTGAAATACACTGACAGTGTAAAAAAAATTTACACTGTTAGTTAATTATAGATGTTAGATGATGGAATAAATAAGACTTTTATTTTAATAACTTATAAAGTAATATAAATGGATAATGGTGATGAATTGACGGTGCATAGTAATAAATCTCTAAAAAGTATTTAAAAACAAAATTCATATACTAGATATTGTTTGGAAGAAGAAGAAAAAAACAATCCTTTAAATTTTAATGTCTATTTCATTCTTGAATAATATAAATGTATTTAAGCACCCTAAGGTGAAGAAATCAAAAATAATGAAGAGTAGAAATACTCAATTCAAATTCAAACTAGCCCTACCACTTCCCACTCTCTTCCCCTACTTCTATCCAATTTTGAATGAAACAAAAAATAAAAATGAAGTTGTAGCCCACATTGCCAAAGTAATATTCAAAATTCAAAGTAACCTCTCTTTGGAATTGAAGCACGAATTTCCTTTATCTCTTTTTCTCTCCTTTAAGTTTTCATTGATTCCATTTATCAAGGTTGTCACTTAAACAACACTAAAAAGTACTACAATATTCTCTTTTCCCTCCATTTTATCTCTTCTTTATGTGCTCTATCCTACTATATAAACCATGCCTATCCTCACATTTCATCATCAATTTATGCTCTTGACCCTCTCTATCTCTAATACTTCAACTTACTTTCTTTTCTTCAGGTTAGTCTTTGTTTTTTCATTTCTCATTTTTCTCTCACTCTCATCATTTTTTTTTACTTTTCAAAGAAGCTAAGCCTTCACATTTTTATATATTTGTTCTTATTATTTAATATGCAAAATTCTAGCTAACAAGTTATAGTTAGTACCTAGATGATTATGTAGGGAAAAATCAACTTTAGGTAAAAGAAATTTTTTTTGTTTATTAAATTAAGAAATCGTCGATATTATAAAAAACGACAAATATTACCTTAATTAGTATTACTGACGCATCAAAAAATTTGATGTGACAAACCAGGTCACATGAATGCGGATAATTTTATTTATAACTTCTATATTGATACAAAAAAGTTATTCGTTAGATATAGTTAGAGATTTGTCGGATAGAATCACTATATAAAGTGTATCTTTCTAATAGAATTATATGTTGAATGCAACAGTAATTTGTGGAGAAGTTCTAAACATGAGTAGGCCAGGAGATTGGAACTGCAGGTCATGCCAACACATGAATTTCCAAAGGCGCGAATCGTGTCAAAGATGCGGCGATTCAAAATACGGAGATCGAGTTGATTATGGATCGATGTTTGGAGGAATTAGAGGAGGATCTTCGTTCGGATTAAGTGGTTCGGATGTTCGTCTAGGCGATTGGTATTGCGGTGCTGGTAATTGTGGTGCACACAATTTCGCTAGCCGTTTAAGTTGCTTCAAATGTGGTGCTTTCAAAGATGAATTAGCTGGTGGAGGATACAACAATAGTGCTGATATTTTGCTTTCAAGAGGCTTTGGTGGAAGTACTAGACCTGGATGGAAATCCGGCGATTGGATTTGTAACAGGTAACACCTCTCGCGTACAACATTTTAGTCTGTGACGATAAATTCTCATTTATTTAGTTGATGATTCAGATAGATAAACTCTGATATCATATTATATTTTTTCTCGATATTTGTCACGATGGAAACATGATTGTTTTTGTTTGGTTTGAACAGATTAGGGTGCAATGAGCACAACTTTGCAAGCAGAATGGAATGTTTCAAATGCAGTGCACCAAGAGACACCTACTAGAGACTAGAGATGGTGCAAGAGAAAAAAGTTACTATGAGATGTTAAGATTGATGATAGTTGAAAAGGTGGTTTGAAATGACATGTTATAAGAGAAACCACATTTCTTAATTAGGATCTTCTTTAGATTTCCCTTTAAAGACTATAACAATGTTGTTTTGGTGTTTTAAACTATTTTTATTTTCTTTGATCTTTGTGTTAGAGAGTTCATTTATTGTATGTGCGAGGTTTTGTTGAATGAAGATGAATATCTCTCCTTTATTTTCTCATCTAAATCACCTACTACTTCACAATCAACAATTGCAATTTTAATAAAATTTATTATTTGTAATTTCAACTAAATTAAAAAGTTAATATAACTTTATCAAATTTCATCTATAATTGCTTATCATTCATTTTATTTTATTAGTTAATGAATACAAAGACAAATAATTTTTTCATTGGTATTTCCTATACTTTAGAGTTTTTATATATAAATTAAAATTACAAACTACCTTACATTTTGGAACTAAAAAGTACTATTTATTTTTTGCCCCAAAATATATGTTACTTCAACACTTTTACAAATATTTAAAGATATAATTAATTTTTTTATGTGAAAAAGAAACTTTGAATTCCATTACAAAATTATTATAAATATTAAATAATATAAGAAAAAGAAATTACTTTTACAAAAACAAGTGGTAAATAATAAATAATTTAATAGAGAGATGATTATTAATATATTTTTGTTAAAAATTATTAACTTATAAATATTAACAATTTACTTACCGCCAACATTATAAAAAGAAATACAGCAGAATTGAATCATGGACCATAAACTCATATTAATTTAACTCAACTAATAAATAAGTTAAAAATTTATTTGTGTTAAAAAATCAAAAATAAAATAAAATTATTATTTTACTTGACATTTAATTTCAATTTCAAACGGAGTATTAAATACATATTTCATAAACTCATTACATATTTTAGCTCAAGATTTGTGATTTCAAAATTATATTTTTTTAATTAAATTAACATATGGATAACGTGAATTTTGTTTTGACTTATATATAAATATTTGACTTATATATAAATATTTGAAAACGAGCAAAATAGAATAGAATCAGAATAAAATTGAGTACAACGGTATATAGTAGAATCAATATCTTATTCTATTGTTTAGATATTTTTAAATGAAATACATAAAAAAATAATATTATTTCATCAAAATCAGATAAAATAAAAATGAATATAATGCATTCGATTTTATCTTCTTTTTATCAATCCAAACAATACAATATAATATTATTCTATTTTATTTTTCTCTATTGAATGTAATGCATTATTCTTTCAATATTTGAAGATAATTAAATTGAATATGTCCATTATAAGTCCTTCATTTCTTGATTTTCACTGTCTTAGTTAGTTATCATATTTGATACAAAAATGACATTGGATTCCTTTCATTGAATGAAAAGTATGGTATAGCTTTAAAAAGAAGTGCATTGTGGATTGAAAAGAAGAACTCAAGAATCCATAACAAAATGTGTTTTTTAAGTATGACTCTTTTCTTTCTCCTTTCAGGCAGGCTTTATGTTAGTGAAGGCTCTCCAATTCTTTTAAGGAATGCTTTATGTTGGTCAAGTGTCTCCCAATTTTGATTATATACAAAATATATTGCACTTTTTTATTACTAATTTTTCGTCATTGTCGTGTTAAAACATGTATGGCTTATCAATCAAAGAACCAACCTAATTAATGTGTCCTTTTAGTAGCATAACAATGCTTATTATAAAATGTTATCCCTTTTAAAACCTTATTAACCTAACCTATCAATTTCGAGGGTGAAATATATATGAGATTCTTCTTTTCATGATTTCATTGACCAAACAAGATTAATCATAATAGATTTTTCTCTTATTTTCTCTCGCATTTCTTAAATCTAAAGCTTTCTTTTCCCTTTGTTCAGTGTTTGTTTGAAAATTTCGCAAACATAAATGTCTAATAGAAGGGTTCTTCTCCACCACCATAAAAATATGCATCTCTGAATCTCCGAACGCACCTTTTTTACATACAACATGAGACAAATTAGTGAGAAACTCTTTTTCTATTAAAATTTGATCGGAAGACGCATCTCCGTATGCTTTAAAGGTTTATTCATATATGCATCTTCGTAACCCCTTTAGTTCATCAGCCTATGATCTTTCTGGAGATTCATCTTTAAAATATGCTTTGTTAATTTAAAATAGAAACAAGCAGAAACAGTGGCAAAATGGAAAACCAACATAAATTAACATCACAAAGATAAACATTACATAAATTTAACATTAAATGTCACTAAAAATAGGTGGTTCAAAACGTTGTAACATTCTTATAATATCTTTGGATGATCTTTGAATCGTCGCATCCACTTCAATCGGATCCTTTGTAGAGTAACAGTAAAAGGTACTCCACATAACCTTCAAATCATTATTTGTCTTCAGTTCAAGCATGGTGAAGTGTATCTTCCCTCCGTTATCTATCGAGGGTGAACGGTACTCGAGTTTGACAACTCTCCAATTTTTCGAATATCGCAAGAGAGTATTCAACGATAAGTATGTCCTCGCAGATCCGAAATTGAAGTGGGAGTTTTGCACCATTGAAATACACAAATGCAAGATGGGGAATGTAGTCATTATGGCTCGTGTAAAAAAATAGAATGATAGATCCTATTTTTAGAATTTGTAGAGCAATATGGACCTTACAAACAAGATCATATTTGCAGGAAAGAATTCGTAGATACATATTCAGATTCGCCTTTTGTTTCAAAAATTAAGGGTTTATTCGGAGATGCACGTCCGTGTAGTCTCCTGTTTTATTTTTTTTAATAATTACAATGTACGTCTGGAGATGTATCTCCGGATCCACTCAAAAATTATGCAGTACATAACCAATTGATTATGCAGAGTAGAATTTCAAAAGACAAAAATTGTTCAAAAAATACAACCTAAATTTATAACATTATGTAATGCATTACATACAAAAGAAAAAACATGTCACGCGGTTATATTACAACTAAAATGCATCAAAATATATGTCACTACCTAAATCTATTAGTAATTCATTCTTTGACCTTTCCTTATTTGTTTCTCATTCAATGTCGATTAGTTTGGTGAACTCTTCCATCCTTTTTAGTAAGTGTTTCGACCATCTTTCAGCATCTTGTGTGAAATGTGTTGTCCACTCTGGTGATGTCGTTGGTATAGAACATCTTGGTTTCAAATAAACCTGAACAAAATGTTATTTTTTTATAGCCAACCAATACATGATGTGTTCAAATGGATTTTGACGTGGCTTACTTCGAAGTGGGAAGAATTTTTTCGAGTAACCATATCATATCAAATCAATACACACCCTATCATAAACACTTGCTAAGGAACTAGAGCATTGAGAATTGCATCCTAATTTGCTTTGTTCTCGTATAGCTTTATGTATGATTCTCTATGGGATGTCATCTCTTGTATAAGATGAAGACAGACAAATTGTTAGTCGTCTTATTCTTTACCAAGCAAACCAGAAACAGCTCGAAAACCATATTTGTGGTCACCTTTAACAACTATAATCCGACCAATGTATTTTTGCATAAAAAGCGGCATTCTTTAATATGTTTCATTTTCGGTAATGGAGGTGGAAGAGATGGTTTACTAATGCGAGCACCCTCAAAAACACTTTTTTGGGACCTTGGAGTCAGAGAATCCAAAAAATGTGAGTCAACATGTTTAAAGTATGAAGGAGATCGTCTCGTGGAGTTGTCGCTTTGACCTTTTTAAGATCACCTTTTGTTTTAACCGATTTGACGGTGGTTTCAATTTTGTTATTTCTAAATAGGTAATTTTCCTCAGTTTCTCTTTGATGTTGATTTTCATTATGTCATGGATTTTCATGAATCTCTCTTAGATCACTTCCCATTCAGTCGTGATATATATGTTTGATTTATCATCCTTCATCACATCATCATCATCAAAATGGAGTTGTTTCCAATGACTACAAACTTCATCCATACGTATTGATTTTTCAAGCTTCATCTTCTTTGAAATTAAACAAGCAGATGAAAGACTGTAAGTCTTCCTAAGTGTACATCCACACTTTGATCTATCTGAATATGTTTTATCTGCTTGCTTGGCTTCTTGAAAAATGAAATTCAAAGTTTCCCGAAATATGTTGTCAATCAATTGGGAATAAAAGATGTTGTCTTTGAAGCGGTGTTTTAACACAATAATGCTTCGACCAAAAGATATTTATATATGATTATGTGAATAAATGATATTATAGAATTTCATGCATCTTTTATATTTTCCACCACCACAACAAGTTTGACAAGTTTTCTATCTTCACATTTGACTTGTTTTGTGCCAATCGTAGGTTTTACTTGACTTCTCATATTTTGGATTATATGATACTTACAAAGTAATACGGATGATGTAGGAAACACGGTTGCAACCAAATTCATCAGTGTGGTGTCGTGATCAGTGATTATGACTTGTGTCATGTTTTCTTAGTCCTTCAACATAGTTAGCTTGTACATTTCCAAAGCCCATGTAACATTGTCCTCTTTTTTGGATTCAAAAAATGCTAAATCGACTAAATAAGTCATCTTCATAAAATTAACACCAACGATTTTTAGGAGTGAAAGTTTATACTTGTTTGTTTTGTATGTTGAGTCAATTGTGAACACGGAGGGAAAGGTCTTGAACAACTTGACAAAATCGGGATGACTCCAAAATATATCTCGAATGGTGACTTTATTCTCACAAACTTTGTACCTTGAAACATAGTTGTCATCAACCAAAAGTTTCAAGAGTTGTTGCATCTCAAATCTTGGTTCTATTACGGCCTTATTGTCTCGAGCACACATATTGTATATTTGCTTGATATTTGAAACATTTAGAGGTTTTTTCTTTTGCAAAGATGCGAGTATGTTTTTTGGAGTCACCATGTTTAATGTCGTGTCCGAAACGAGTTTCCTTTCCTCCAGAACA